GATTTAAAATATGTAAAAAGAACATATTGAAACAAGCTCAATATTGCAAAAAACATCACTGAAAACTGATTATAAAAACAAAAATGTCGAATATTTGAATCAAAATAAACAAACCAAAGGGAAAAAAAACATTTATAATGCCTTTACAATTTAAAACTAGTACAAATTTTAAGAGATTTTCACTTCTTATAACTGTAGCTTTATGACAATAAACAACTTTTTAACTATCAGGTAAAAGCTTACCACTGGCTGTTTTACTTTCACTTCATAAAAAATGCTAATAAATCTTTAAGACATGCTTTAAAAATGGAATGTTTTTTACAGATAAGGCTTGACTACAAACAYATAAAACATTTATTTCCTTGTGCTGACAGAGGCTACATCTCACACCACATATTTGATCAGAGGCATAATAAAACCCTGCTAATGTTTAAATTTAGAGTATGGACAGTGTTTAGTTACCTGCCCGTTAGCCAAATGGACACATAACTGCTTAGCATTTAAGCAGGAATATTGCAAAAAAAAAAAAAGTATTGTGCTTTGTAAAGTTGTTGATAGTTGGAATAATATTCCAAGGTTTTGGCTTCTTGGAAGGGTTGATGATACATTTACTCAGAGTATTAAGGTCAAACTTTACGATTTCTTGACACCAGGATATCCATCATCTCACAGAATTTCTGGTCTTTGGAGCAAATAATAAACCGCATTATTAGGATCTGTTAACCTCATCGAATAAGATGGAATCATTTGCATAGAAATTGATTTTATCCCCTGAAATCTGAGTGGGGACTGCAATTTTCAATTTAACTACAGTGGACAATGAGCATTCAGAAAAATAGACAGATGGCTTTTGAAATGGATTTCCAATTTCCTCCTTGGACAGAGTTTTAACACAGCAATGAATGTGATTATAGCTGAGAATGTATTCGTTTTTAAGAAGCCCTGTGAATAATCTTGATTCCCCAGGGTGTGCCACTCAGGCTTTTGTCTGGTACAAGTTTTTGAGTTTTATGGTGTGCTGAACCAATGATACCAAACTTATCTTTTATTTGAAAGACAAAAAGAAAAGAAAAAAAAAACTACTGAAGACGGTCACAAAGACCAGGCATAAGCTTTAAACTGCAAAGAGAATCTGTGCGATATGGCAGGCTSCGAAGAAGTTGGAAACCAATTTTTTTTCAACCGCTTTAAAACCAGAAGTCACAGTGAGGTGTCACGCTGCACAGGGTGGTGTACATGCACTCAGCCCCCTGCCAAGACCTTACGAACAGTRACATCAAATCTTGCCACAATTTAGAGATTTTTTTTCCTCCAGAAGGAGACACATCTTGTAGAGTTCTTGAAGCAAGGAAAATGTATTCCTTGATGTTTTCTTCTTTTTTTYCCTGCTTTAAAAGCCAGCCCTTTAGAAGCACAGAGTCAGTATTTGAATAGAACCAAGAGTGAATGGAGAACATACATTTTCTTTCCCCCCATTAAGCAGTGACTTACTGACAGAAAGGCAGGCTGGTGTCAGGGTCCAGGTGACAGGTACCTCCATTGTAGCAATATCCGTCACACAGCTGACAGCTCGGTGCTATTCTGCCATTTGTGCAGCTGGTGGATCAAGACATAATTGACTTTAGTTATAGACAATGTAATATGTGTATGCATATATATA